CTTATATCTTCTTGATTTCCCAAATCCAGCACTTTTTTTTCTCATTATTCTACCTAACTTTAACAAAATGTTCTTTTTTATGTCTCCTGTTATTCTTTGAACGTATCCTATTTTTAAATTTATTATTATATTTTTTATTGTTTTTATGTAAAGTCACTTTGTATATCCTGACCTTGAGTTCTTCACTTTTATCACCTACTCTCTGCAAGACATTAGTCAACAAATTATTAAACACCTCCTATATGCTAGGTACTGTATGCTGTGGCTACAGATAGAAAGTCAGAAAGTTAATCTTGGGTAGATGCAGCATATCTGCATACGGTAATACAAACTGCATGCAAAATTAAAATTAAAAGAAAGGAAGAGCACTAAGAACTGAAGGGGATCAGGAAAAGTCTTCTGTAGGAAGTATGTGGTACCTGGGTTGTTCCCAGAATTTTGTCCCTCTTTTATCCTTCTTTGGCACACGGACCAGTTTGTAGGCTGTTAGATACAAGGCAGTCAGTGTTGTGGGGGAGAAAAAGCACTGGCTTCGGAGTCAGTACTGTGTTTATTTGAATATTTATTATCAAATGCTGCATTTCGTGTTAAATATGAGATTGACATACTGTCTACATTGGCTACTTAATAATGATGAATGATGGTCTCATTAAATACTAATAACTATAACATAATGATTTGAATATTAGGGTAAGCCTGAAGAAAACATTAGCAATTTTGAATACTATTGCTGTTAGACTGATAATTGCAGACTTGTTTTAAGGTTGGTTTGGTTCTAGTTTAACAGCAAATTCTAGTGTCTTTTCTAAATACTATAATCTTTGTTTTGTTATGTAGAGAGTTGTATTATTGTTATTTGTAAGAGATTCTAACTTATGTATAAGTGCTCTTGAAGAGTTGAGAGGGACAGTATGGTGTAGAGCAGTGATGTCAAACTCAAATAGAAACTATAGTTGTCACTAAATAGTATATAAGGATCCCTGCCTCTACATATTGATTCAGAAAACCATATATGAACATTATTTAGGTTTTATTGTATTTTTAGTTATTTTATTAATATTCCCAGTTATATCTTAATCTGGTTCTGCCTAATTTTGGGAGCAGGCTGTTTTTTTGACACCTCTTATGTAAAGGAAAGTGTTCTAGACTTGTCAGGAAATATCTTTGTTGGGCAGCTAGGTGGAGCACTGGATAGAGCTCTGCCTTGGACTCAGGAAGATGTGAGTTCAAATCCAGCCTCAGACATATAATAATAAAAAAGCTGTGTGACTGTGGGCAAGTCACTTAATCCCAATTGCCATACAAAAAAAAAATTATCTTGGGGCAGCTAGGTGGTGCAGTGGATAGAGCACTGGCCCTGAATTCAGGAGGACATGAGTTCAAATTCGGCCTCAGACACATAACACTTACTAGCTGTGTGACCCTGGGCAAGTCACTTGACCCTATTACCTAGTCCCCCCCCCCCACCAAAAAAAAGAAAGAAATACTTTTGTTCATTTCTCACCCCCTAGCACCTGGGCAATTTATATGAGTCTTCTGAGCTTCATTTTTCTCACTTGTACTATTTATATTTTTTTGTTTAATTTTCAGTTTTTTCCAATTACATGTAAAAATAATTTTTTACTTTCCCTTTTAAAAAAAAGTTTTGTTTTTTTCCCAACTGCATGTAAAAACAATTTTTAATATTCATTTTTTAAAATTTTGAGTTTCAGATTCTCTCCCTTCCTCTCTCGCCTTGCTCCTCCTCCCTGAGATGGTAAGCAGTTTGTTACAGGTTTTGCATGTGCAATCATGTAAAACATATTTGTCATGCTGTGAAAGAAACTATAGACAACCTTTTGCCCCCCCCACTCCCCCAAGAAGAAAAAAATTAAGAGAAAAATAATATGCTTGAATCTGCATTCAGACTCCATTAATTCTTTCTCTGGAGGTGGATAGCATTTTTCATCATGGATCCTTCAGAATTGTCTTGGATCAGTGTATTGCTGAGAATAGCGAAGTCATTCACAGTTGATCATCATATAACATTGCTGTTACTGTGTACAGTGTTCTCTTGGTTCTGCTCAATGTACTTTGCCTCAGTTCATGTAAGTCCAAGTTTTTTTGGAATCATCCCGTTCGTCATTTATTAGAGCTGAATAATATTCCATCATAATCATTTACCACTACTTGTTCAGCCATTCCCCAATTGATGGGAATCCTCTCAATTTCTAATTCTTTGCTACAACAAAAAGAGCTGCTATAAATATTTTTGTATGTGTAAGTTCTTTTTTCTTTTTCTTTTCTTTTTTAATCCCTTTGGGATACAGATCTAGTAGTGGTATTGCTGGGTCAAAGAATATGCCAAGTCTTACAGCCCTTTGGGCATAGTTCCAAATTGCTCTCCAGAATGGTTAGAGCAGTTCACAACTCTACCAACAGTGCCTTAGTGTCCCAGTTTTCCCACATTCCCTTCAAAATTTGTCATTTTCTTTTTCTGTTATTTTAGTCAATCTGATAGATGTGAGGTAGTACCTATGAGTTGTTTTAATTTGCATTTCTCTGATCAGTGGTGACTTAGAGCATTTTTTATATGACTATATAGATAGCTTTGATTTCTTTGTCTGAAAACTGCCTGTTCATATCGTTTGACCATTTATCAATTGGAGAATGACTTGTATTATTAATTTGACTCAGCTCTTTATATATTTGAGAAACAAGGCCTTTTATCATGAGAGATATACTATAAAAATTTGCCCTTGGTTTTCTGCTTTCCTTCTAATCTTGGCAACGTTGGTTTTATTTGTACAAACTGTTTTTAACTTGATGTAATCAAAATGATCTGTTTTATGTCCCATAATCCTCTCTATCTCTTGTTTGGTCATAAATTCTTCTCTTATCCTTAAATCTGAAGGTAAACTATTCCATGCTGTCCTAATTTGCTTATGGTATTACTCTTTATGTCTAAATCATCACCCATTTTGACCTAATCTTGTTATGTGGTGTGAGATGTTCTACACCTAGTTTCTGTGAAACCGCATTCCAGTTTTCCCAGAAGTTTTTTATCACATAGTGAGTTCTTGTTCCAAAAGCTTGGATCTTTGCATTTATGAAACACTAGATTACTGTGGTTGTTTACCACTCCATTTCTTAGCCAGTTACCAGATTGTTTTGGTGATTACTTCTTTGTGATACAGTTTGAGATCTAGTATGGCTAGGCCACCTTCTTTCACATGTTTTTCATTGATGCCTTGATATTCTTGAACTTTTTTTCTTCCAATTGAATTTTGTTATTATTTTTCTGTCTCTATAAAATACTTTTTTTTTGTAGTTTCATTGGTATGGCATTGAGTAAGTAAAATAATTTAGGTAGAATTGTCATTTTTGTTATATTGACTCAGCCTATTCATGAACAATTAATATTTTCCCCATTCTGTTTCAGATTTGACTTTATTTGTGTGGAAAGTGTTTTGTATTTGTGTTCATATAGTTCCTGAGTTTGTCTTGGCAGGTAGACTTCCTAGTATTTTATATTGTCTGCAGTTATTTTAAATGGAATTTCTTTTTCTGTCTCTTGCTGTTGGGTTTTGTTAGTAATATATAAAAATGCTCATGATTTATATGGATTTATTTTATATCATACAACTTTCCTAAAGTTGTTAATTATTTTAACTAGGTTTTTTTTAGTAGCTTCTCTAGGATTCTCCATATATACCATCATATCATCTGCAAAGAATGATAGTTTTGTTTCCTCATTGCCTATTCTAATTCCTTTTTCTTCTCTTATTTCTATAGCTAACATTTCTAGTACAATATTGAATAATAGTGGTGATAATGGGCATCTTTGCTTTACCTCTGATTTAATTGGGAAGTTATCCCTATTACAGATAATGCTTACTGATGGTTTTAGACATTCTAATTCTAATGGTATTATAGAAGCAGAAATATTGTGTCGTAAAAGGAATTTGGTAGGACTCCTTCTTTGCTTATTGTTCCATAAAGTTTTTATTTATATATATATATATATATATATATATATATATATATATATATATATATATATATATATATATAATTAGAATTAATGGTTCTTTAAATGTTTGGTAGAAGTCACTTATGAATCCATTTGGTCCTAGGGATTTTTTCTTAGGGAGCTCATTGATAGTTTGTTCAATTTCTTTTTCTAAGATAGAGTTGTTTAAATATTCTGTTTCCTCTCCTGTTAATCTGGACAATTTACATCTTAGTAAATATTATTCCATTTCACTTAGATTGATAAACTTATTGGCATATGATTGGGCAACATATATCCTAAAATTGCTTTAATTTCGTCTTTATTGGTGGTGAATTCACTCTTTTCATTTTGGCATTGGTAATGGTTTTGTTCTTTATTTTTTTGAAATCAAATTAGCCAGTGGTTTATCCATCTTACTGGGTTTTTTTTTTTGGTCATAAAATCAGCTCCTAGTTTTATTTATTAGTTGGATAGTTTTCTTATCTTCAGTTTTATTCATCTCTTCTTTGATTTTCAGTATTTTCAATTTGGTGTTTAGAATTTTTAATTTGTCTTTTTCTAATTTTTAAAAATTTCATGCCCAATTAATTGATCTGTTACTTCTCCTCTGTTTTATTAATATAAGTGTTTAGAGATATAAATTTTCTCCTAATCACTACATTGGTTGCTTCTTCAAAGTTTTGGTATGTTGTCTCATTGTTATCATTCTTGTTAATGAAATTATTGATTATTTCTATGATTTGTTCTTTGACCCACTTATTCTTTAATTTCTAATTAATTCTTAATCTTTGTTTCCACAGCCCTTTTTTGAATATGTTTTTTATTTATTGCATTGTGGTTTGAAAAGGAGTCATTTGATATTTTGCTTTTCTGCATTTGGTTGTGACATTTTGATGCGCTAAGATATGGTCAGTCTTATGTAGCCAATTTTAGCACTTTTCTAAAGTACAGGCTTAATAGTGCTTAGTAATCACTGTTTCACTGAGTGTCTTTTCTTTCTGAATAGGAAGAGGAAGCCTGTAAACCAACATTCAGCTATATGAAGACCGTGAAGAAGCACTTGGGTGATAATTTTGAATGGTGTTCCAGCTGGACTTGTTTCATAGAGCACTTGCAATGAACCTCTCTCATTTCTTGTTATTGGCCTGGATCCCCTAGTACTGGAATACGTTGACTTCAAAACAATAAGAAATAATACAGGTCGTCATTGTCATCAAAAACATATGAACAGTTGTGATGGTGAAATGAGATGAGGCTCCGAAATGGAACTGTGACAACTGTATTGGTTTTTATCACTTCGTTCCTCAGTTTGTCTTGGTATATTTCATGGCAAAATGGAAAAGGTAAGGGAAATGTCTCTGTGAGAACATACATAAAAGTTAACATTTTGTCTAGAGATATGAGAGATAAATCAAGGCTGTGATATCCATTAAGTCGTAATATTTTTATAGTGTAGCAAGGAAGCTTAGTCGCTTGATTGTACATACACAGTTCAGCCCTTCTGAGAAAGCCTATCTAAATAGAGTATTAGAAAGAGACCTTCTTGAGTTGAAATCTGTACTTCAATGCTTATAGGCAAGAGCTATGCATATTTTTTGTTAATTTATACTATAATATTAAGTCAGTAGGCTAAGTTCAAGAATATCAGTTTTTTGTATCATTGAAGTATATATATGTTGAATATTGCTTATAACATTTAAAACAAAGTCATTCTCATCAAGAAATTTACTTACTAATTACTTTGATTTTAACTGCACTTGTTGATAGATTGTTCTTTAAATAAAATTATTAAATGAATGACTAGAGTTTGAGTTTAATGTTTGTTTCTTTTTTTTGGCTAGGCAATGGGGTTAAGTGACTTGCCCAGGGTCACGCAGCTAGTTATCCACTGCACCACCTAGCTGCCCCTGAGTTTAATGTTTTTAAATTTCATTCTTTTAGTTAAGTGTTGGGATTGCGTTCTAAGTGTCATGTACTCATTTTTAGAGTATTTTTTTTACCTAGTCCTCTTAAAAAAAATTGTAGTAACTGCCTTCTTACTCAAATGTTTTTATTTTTCTTTCTTTTTAATGTTATCTTAAGGTAAGAATTGTTAAATTTTTTTTGGTGGTTGTTGTTGTTGTTAAATTTTTTCATTGGGCCCCTTTGGCATTCTGATGGACTTTATGGACCACTTCTCAAAATAATATTTTTAAATGTATAAAATAAAACATTTTGAAATATAAAAGAAATTATAAAAATATTTTTTAAAAAGTTCATGGAACCTAAATAAATTTTGTCTAGAAGAAACTATGTTCATATGCAAGAGTATTAGAAGCATTAAAATAATAGTTTAATTTGAGTAATGTGACCCACAAACTTATTACAGATTATTCACCTTTGCCTTTACATATTTATTAAAAAATTATATTAGTTGAAATGCTTTTCCTTTACCATCAAGACCTTTTTATGTTTGTGGGTTTTTTTCTCTTGGGAAAGTAGCATAAAGTTTTTTTTTTCATTCTTTTTCTTTAGCTTTTTGGTTTCAAGTACTAGGATAATATTTTGTTGAAGACTTTTCTTCTGAAATAAAAAATGCTTTCTCAGCACTGCCAAAATAACATCATTGAAGGGTTATGTTTGGAGAAATTTTTATATTAATTCCATTTCATCAAATTATTGTATGTGTAGCTGTGTAAATACTTGGCCTTTCTCTCTTTTCAAAAATAATATGTTTCATTGATATCTTTGTTGTCTTGTCTGAATGCATATCTTCCCTTCCCCCACCCCTGTAAAGAGGAAAAGAAGTTACATAATATCAGACGGTATCTTTTCTCTTATCATCTGTGAGGTAGAAATACTTGACAGCATACTTTGAAAATCCCCTTGTATGAAATATTAGAGTGAGCATATGGTTTCTTATTCAAGGAAAATTATATCTATTTTGATAATAGTAACTAAGAAACTTGATTGTTTCTTAGGCTATATAGAATATTGTTAGGTTTGGAGTCGTTGTGGAATTTTAAAAGCTGATTCTCTTATTAACAAATTCAGTGCATTATATTCTTCATTTCCTTCCCTTATTGAAAAGATTAAAAATTCTAGTATTTTAAAACATAGCTGATAGTTTTTCTTCTTCAAAATCCTATGAGTTAGAGAAATAGTTATTCTAACTCGAAAACTTATTTGAAAGTTATCGATTCAAGTATATGTATAAAACACTGTTTAGAGATCTCTCTTGCTTTTTTACTTTTAACTCAGTGATAAGGATTAAAGTATTTTATCAGCATATCCACACTTTATTGATTGAATTAAATCAATCTGATTGGCTCCAGATTTTAAGGAATTATCATATGAAGAAACCCCCTCCAACTTGTAGTCTCAGAGAGTTTCTGAGAACACTGAGGGGTTCAGCGAGTTACTCAGAGTCACAGCCAGTGTGTCAACCTGCTTCTCCTTATATGGCACTTTTTTTTTTTTTGCTGTGGTATTCAGTAATGTGCTGGCATGGGTAATTGAAAGTTAGTACACAGGTGGTCCTAAAACCCCACTTTAGTCTTCTGTCTACTTCAAATATATGGATAATTTTTCTTTTTACAAATCAAATCAGATGTTTAATGCTTTTGGCAAGAGGTTTTTGCAGATTTTCCAGAGCAGAAATTAAAATACAGTTTTAAAGCAAAGCTAAAAATACAGAACAAGACAAACTATAGACTTGATTTATGGAGTTAAAAATGTGTAATGTTGCAAAGCAGATTCTCTAAAATTCATTAAAACCAAAGATCCACCATATCAGTCTACTATATTTTGAAAGAATTTTGGTCATGTTTTCAGAACAAAGCAGAAAGGAGACCTGAATCACAAACATATTGGTCACAGCAGCATCCCTTTTCTGAAATTAATTTTCCATATACTTAAATCAAAAGTTTTGTAACTTAAAGTTGCTTTCTGATACAAAGAGAAAATAAAATGTAGAAGATCTCTTAATTGAGGACTTACTCAAAGGGTAGGTTTACAAGGCTAGAAGAATCCTCAGAGCCCCTTTACATCTTAGCAGCAGCCAAGTCTGGAAATGGATATTAGGTTTGTATGTGCTTGGGAGAAAGTAGAGATTATAATCACATAAGGTACTTTGAATATGGTCAGTTTTTAGGCCATGTCTTTGGAAAATTTTGTATTTAGTAAAATAAAAGTCACTCAGTCAATAAACATTTAAACACTTCTTGCAGGCATTTGCTGAGTGCTGGGGATACAAAAAGAGGCAAAAGACAGTCCCTGCCTTCAAAGAATTCACTAACTGGGGAGGCAACAAGCAAACAAATACAGATAAATAAGCTATGTGCAGGGTAAATAGGCAATAATTAAGAGAGAGAAGGGACAAGAATTAAGGGGGGTTGGGAAAGACTTCCTATAGAAGATGATGTTTTAGTTGAGGCTTAAAGGAAGCCAGAGAAGCTCGTTGGTGGAGATGAGGGGAGAGAGCATTCCAGGCATGGGGGGCTGCCAGGATTATGCTCAGAGCTGAGAGATGGAGTGTCTTGTTCATAGAACAGCAAAAGAGGACCATGTCACTTGATTGAAGAGTACTTGGTGGGTCTTACTTTGTTTTATTTTATTTTTAGCAGCTTATTATTATAATTAGGCTTTAATCCCAAGTTGTGGGTAATGTTGCCCTAGGGCTCATGTTCTCCTTACTGTTACTTTCTGAATTCTGTCCAGGGGCTCAATCCGAGGGACTGCTCTCCTTCCTTAAGCCACAGTTAGGGCTCCCAGCCACCGTGTCCTGAAAATGTTCTTGTTCCCTGCAGTACTGCACTCACTGGGCATGTACTTGCTCCTTCTTGCGCACAGCCACAGCCTGGAATCACTTCTGGGCAACTACTAGCCATGGCTTCTGGGAACAGCTGGGGTGGGTGGTGTCCTTCAGTGTTTCACCATTCAGCTGTCTGCTGTTCTTGGTGAGGTGAAAATTCATGAGCCTGTGAGGTGAACGTCTACGAGATGAAAGTTCTTGAGGCCTAGTTCACTTCCCAGTGGAGCTGCTTTCAAGGCCTAATGTTTGTTAATTCAGTGGAGTTGACCTGGAGGTTACTACACTCAGGTCAAACCTCAGCCCCTGGAGGCCTTGTTTTTTTCTGAGGTCTTCTCAAGTTGTCTTAGGAGGATAACTGCTTTGCTCCTTTATTTTTGCTGCCCTGTGTTCGTTTTGTGACAATTTTCTCTCTGTTGGTGGAGGAAATCTGGAGAATCTGAAACTTTCTGACCTACTCCACCACTTTCCCAGAATGCTTCCAAGATTAGAGTGTTCCTTAATAGGCTGATCCTTCACCTTTAAGATGGTCATGTATCCAAAGAGCCAGTATAGCTTCAAAAAGGGCCAAGGAACAGTTGACATGGTGTTTGTTGCCTGTCAACTCCTGGAGAAATGTGAGGAGCAGAATAGAGGTCTGCACACATGCAGTGTTTGTTGACATGACCAAGGCTTTTAGTGGCTCTCAATCATGAGGGCTTGTGGAAGATCACAGCAAAATTGGGCTGCCTGAAAAAGTTCATCGCTATTGTATACCAGTTTGATGGTGACATGCTTTCTTGGGTTTTGGGTAATGGGTGATGTTCTCATGCTTTTCTAGTCAACAGTGGAGTGAAATAGGGCTGTGTGCTTGCTCCCATACTTTTTAGCATGATGTCTTCAGCAGTATTGTCAGATTTCTTCAATGAAGATGAAATTATAGCATCAAGGTCAGCTACCACACTGATGGTAAATTATTTAACTTGAAAAGACTACAAGCCAGGACTAAAATGGAGGGAGAGTTGGTACGTGAATTTTTTGTTCACGGGTGATTGTGCACTTGGTGCAGCCTCTGAGGCTGAGATGCAACAGATCGATTTTCTGCAATTTGTGCTAACTTTGGCTTGATGTTAACATCAAGAAAACAAGAGGTTCTCCACCAGCCAGCACTGCACTAACCATACGTGGAACCATCAATTACAGCAAATGGAAAATTTTTTAATGCTGTGGATAAGTTCACTTACTTGGCAGTGTACTTTCCAGTGATGTACAACTAGATGATGAGATTGATGCACACATTGCCAGAGCTATTTCAGTGTTTGGGAGGCTCTGAAGGAAAGTGTGGGAAAGAAGAGGTATTATTACACTGCCTACCAAACTGAAGTCTACAGAGCTGTTGTGCTGACTCCATTGTATGCCTGTGAACCTGGACAGTCTACCAGTGCCATGCCAGGAAATGGAATTACTTCCATTTGAATTCTCTTAGGAAGATTCTGAAGATCACCTGGCAAGATAAGGTAGCAGACACTGAGGTCCTTTCTTGAGCCAAGCATTCAAACTCTTATGCAGACAGTG